ACAACGAAGGTGGATCAATAAGAGAGAGAGAGAGAGAGAGAGAGAGAGAGAGAGAGAGAGAGAGAGAGAGAGAGAGAGAGAGAGAGAGAGAGAGAGAGAGAGAGAGAGAGAGCAAAGAAAATATCTCCCCCTTTTCCATCATTCTCCTTTTCCTCCTTCGTCTTCCTCTCCCCATAACTCTGAGGGAGCAGCAAGATGGCCGCCCATAGTGAAGATAATAGCCTGTAATTTCCCTAAACTTTGTGAGCGTCATCTTGGCAGGGAAGCAAGCCAGGTGGGGCCAAGTCTCCCGGGACAAGACAGTGTGATATGATTATATGTCATGTCACACCTGGAAAACGAACATGTACCCTGCTGTGTTGGTGGGGGGGGGGGGGGGGGGGGTCAGAATTACATGTTACTCCTGGGATAAGAAAGTGTAATGTGTCATGCTCGGTTTCAACGACGTCATACCTCGAGGACAACACCTCTGCCATACAAAATGATGTTACATGAGTAATTATTTGTTCAGGTGTGTAGCTGATTTAGGTTTATATAGTTGTACGCTTAGGTTACTAGAGGTAATATTAGGTTTGGTTTATATATTTGCCGAGTTTAATTAATTTAATTGGTTGACATTAATCTAACACCTTATAGGCGTATAAGTTTTACCCAGTCAACCTAACAAGCTGGCAACATGAACCTCGCACGCACACAAACAAACAAACAAACAAACAAACAAACACTTCATAAACAAAATATTATAGAGTACAGTGGACATACACAACAGGAAAATTAAGCTGTTAAAGCAGACATATTCTTCTACATAACAGACGAAGGTTAAAGAGTTATTATGACGATAACGTTTTGGTGTCCACTGAGCAAATCTTAGGCCTCTTTCACACAAGCTGTTTTTTTCTTGTAGTGCCACAAAATATACGAGTGTAAGGTGTGTAAGGAGCCATCTTCGAACACCGACAGTTTTTCCATCGCTCGTTAGTTTAGCCCCACAAGGGAGACCCCCCCCCCCCACAACGCAGGTCACTATTGCACATTAACAATCAGTAGTTCCGTATGTACGATACTTAGTCTCGCATGGTGTTTTCCTGAAACATTTTTATATTCAATTCTCATTATCGGTATTCATAATAATTAATTGTCTATGGATCGATGAGATATGTATTTATTAGGTGAATACTGCATAGGCTATGTACTGTACAGCATATACTATATACTGTACATAAACTATAAGCTCAACATAGAATATACTGTATACTACATAGTTATAGATAGTCAAATAAACAATTACATAAAAGTATGTGCCAGAAAATAAAGAAACATTTTCCCAAACCAGAGCTGAAACCGAACAGTCGCGCGACAAAATAAACATTCGTCTAAAATCCTCCATTGCCACAGGGAGAAACCTAAACCGCTGGACGTATTTTTATGCGTTGCGTTTCGGAAGTACAACCGTTCGGTCAGCGTCAAAATCATTTCATTTTTGTCACGTACGGCCATTTGAAAGGTCCCACTGAACTCCGTTGATTTCTAAGTCAAGCTACACAAAAAAAACACTCGTGCGAAAGAGGTCATATTATCACATGTCGGCCACACCAATGTCACTGAGGGTGGTTCATGGCCTGTATGCTTATATTTACATTAAATAAGATAAGGTTAGGTTGGGTTAGGTAAGGTAGTGTTAGGTTAGGTAAAGTTAGGTCGGATATGGTAGTCAATATTATTATTCAAATTAAGAACATCAACAAACCATTTAGTGTGAGAGCGAGGCATAAGTTACCTTAATGGCCCCCGAGGCAGGTCACACCTCCTGGGACTTTACTTAATAACTCAGGTAAATTTGGCTCCAGGAAACCATTTTCATTTCTGATTATTTAATTGGCCAGGTGGAGGGCTTGAAGATGACGGAGGAAGGTGAAGGAACGAGACCCACTCATTTGACCAAGTGGAACATGACGCACCTGGTAGATAGTGAAGGAGAACATGACCCACCTGGTAGATAATGAAGGAGAACATAACCCACCTGGTAGATAGTGAAGAAGAACATGACCCACCTGGTAGATAGTGAAGAAGAACATGACCCACCTGGTAGATAGTGAAGAACAACATGACCCACCTGGTAGATAGTGAAGAAGAACATGACTCACCTGGTAGATAGTGAAGAAGAACATGACCCACCTGGTAGATAGTGAAGAAGAACATGACCCACCTGGTAGATAGTGAAGAACATGACTCACCTGGTAGATAGTGAAGAAGAACATGACCCACCTGGTAGATAGTGAAGAAGAACATGACGCACCTGGTAGATAGTGAAGAAGAACATGACCCACCTGGTAAGATAGTACATGACCTACCTGCAGATAGTGAAGAAGAACATGGATCCACCTGGTAGATAGTGAAGAAGAACATGACCACCTGGCAGAGAAGAACATGACCCACCTGGTAGATAATGAATGGTACCATGACCCACCTGGTATAATGAAGGAGAACATAACCCACTCCTTGCAGAAGATGATGAAGGAGTAATACAACCCACCTGGTAGATAATGAAGGAGAACATAACCCACCTGGTAGATAATGAAGGAGAACATAACCCACCTCGTAGAAGATAAGGGAAGGAGAACACAACTCCACCTGGTAGATAATGAAGGAGAACATAACCCACTCCTGTAGAAGATGATGAAGGAGACACCACCCTGGTAGATAATGAAGGAGAACATAACTCCACCTCGTAGAAGATGATGAAGGAGTAATCATGACCCACCTGGTAGATAATGAAAGGAGAAACATAACCCACCTGGTAGATAAATGAAGAAAATATAACCCACCTGTAGAAGATAGTGAAGGAGAAAACATAACCCACTGGTAGATGCTAATGAGAAGGAAACACAACCACCTCGTAGAAGATAGTGAAGGAGAACATAACCCACCTGGTAGAGAGAAGGAGAACATAACCCACCTGGTAGAAGATGATGAAGAAGAACATGACCTACCTGTAGATAGTGAAGGGAGAAATATAACCTACCTGGTAGATAGTGAAGGAGAACATGACCCACTCAGTAGAAGATGATGGTAAGTATGAGGTGGGTGAGGGCGGTGAAGGAGTTGGCCAGGATGCCCCAGCGGAGGGGGAGGGGCAGCATGGAGTAGGTCACAAACACGATGAACAACAAGTACCACATCTGGTTCTCGTTCACTCGCCTGGTCCTCCAGCTTCAACCCGTTCAGCAACTGTGAGATGCAACCTGCAACACAAGAGGTAGGCAGCGTTAGTAATCAACACCATGAGCACTATCTGCAACCTGCAACACAAGAGGTAGGCAGCGTTAGTAATCAATACCATGAGCACTATCTGCAACCTGCAACACAAGAGGTAGGCAGCGTTAGTAATCAACACCATGAGCACTATCTACAACCTGCAACACAAGAGTCACCGACAATACAGTATTACTCAACACCCACAACAATCTCACTAACACACTGTATAACATCGTTCCGTGGTTCAAACTTGAGGTGCAGGATGATCGTGTTGTTGAGGGCAGAGGCAGCCCAAGGTCTGTGACGTTTGTAATATGTTAGTGTAGTTCAAGGTTGTTAAGGCACAGAGGTCAAAAACTTTCCCCTACTTCAGTTCGAAATTACGCAAAATCCGGATGAGGTGCTACAGCCCCGTCCATGTTAAATAACAATTGGGAAGCTCAGTAGTTCAGTCTCGTCTCAGCAGTCTGGAGTTTCTGTCACGTTAAGAGTTATTATCCGCCACTATACCGTATAGTGACATTAATCTAATTTTACAGATTATATTATTTGTTATTTAAATATACAAATCTAAACTTCCTTAATGGTTGCCTTCTTATAAGCGCTAAAGATCTCAAGAAACTAGGCACCTCAAGGCCCGAGGAACAGGACTCACTATAGGGCAGCCGTCTGGACTCACACCAGAAGATGGGCCAGAGACTATAAACAGTCCTCATACAACAGGACCTTAAACTATAAACTAATCGTAATATAAAATCAAACAAGATCATTGTCATTAATATCTTCTCCACGGAAATAATGTTGAAATTGGAATCGCTTTTATCAAGACCTTAATTTGAATACAACCCGTTTTAGGTTATACTCAGGAAATTAAATTCGGACGGACGTACAGACAAACAGACACAAGGACGGACGGACTGTAGGAATTCATTTCCATGTTCCTCGAACAATAGAGGAAAGATGAGTGTGTTCCCCGTGGCCAGGGTGACACAGGATGGGTGTGTTCCCCGTGGCCAGGGTGACACAGGATGGGTGTGTCCCCCGTGGCCAGGGTGACACAGGATGGGTGTGTCCCCCGTGGCCAGGGTGACACAGGATGGGTGTGTCCCCCGTGGCCAGGGTGACACAGGATGGGTGTGTCCCCCGTGGCCAGGGTGACACAGGATGGGTGTGTCCCCCGTGGCCAGGGTGACACAGGATGGGTGTGTTCCCCGTGGCCAGGGTGACACAGGATGGGTGTGTCCCCCGTGGCCAGGGTGACACAGGATGGGTGCGTCCCCCGTGGCCAGGGTGACACAGGATGGGTGCGTCCCCCGTGGCCAGGGTGACACAGGATAAGTAAGCCCCCCTTGGCCAGGGTGACACAGGATAAGTAAGCCCCCCTTGGCCAGGGTGACAAACTTAGTCCCCGAAACAGAAGGCCGTGTGAGTCAGTTATTCACCCTCGTCTTCACCTTCTCTTTACAGTATATATCACGTCGTCATATTCGAAAAGGCATCGCAAAATAATTCCTTAAGTGTTTCTTTTTTTCTTCCACCTGAACAAAACAGAAAAAACGACAAACAATGAAGGACAAACATCACACACAAGCGATAAAAACAGGTCCTACTCCTCCCAGTACTAGGGATCTTATCGAGGTCTGCTGCTGACGGTACAAGTTTCAGCAGACAACTTATATAGGACGGCTGCTAGTTATGTCCACATCATTATATTCTGTTGCTCTTAATTTCATGTCTCAGCTATTAGTCCTGGTGTCCACCTCAGATTATCGTTATTTTAGTTGTTTTGGCGGTAACAGAGAATTACTGGGGACATGCGGCAGTCACTAATGATCTTTAGGCATAATAATAATAGCTACCAGTTATCAGTTCTTATATAATAATAATAATAATAATTCATATTTAACATTTCACATCACATTTGCCACCTACTCTACACTTACACAGTTACCAGTTTCAATCCAGCGCGAAAAGCTTAAAAATTTAATCTAGTTTGATTCATTCTCCCTTATTGGTTCACTCATCCTTTCAACAGTGTAAGGAAGAACGAGCTGAGACTACACTACGACTCTTTCATAAACTCTACGGTCAGAGCAAGCCGTGTTTCACTATCTACTGGAGCCTGTGTCCAATGATGACTGATCAAATGGACCCAAATCTTAATAGGTCTCAACCTAACCTTATTCTTAAGACTTGGGACCAGTGTTAATAGATCCTAAGTCTAACGGTCAAGTTAAGTCAGGCTGGGGTTAAAAGAACTGAAACCCATCAGAATATACGGCTCTATAACCTACTGCGCCTGTAATCGGCAGACTCCTAACTTATGCAGCCACACTCCATATCTAGTGTTGCACCTTACACACAACGCAACCCAACACAATAGTTTCCGCTAGAGCAAATATCTAAACAAACAAAATAAGTCTCAATACATATTACTTCAAAGGATTTTTAATACTTCAAACCGTTTCATAAAAAATTATTGCGATCGATCATTTTGATGGTACGAAAGAATGGCACCAAAGGGATACAGAGGAAAATATTGCGATAAATAATGATGCTTATTATTATTAATCGTCAAAGCAGATACGAGAAACGACACCCGTAATACTATTCCACTTTCACCTCCTACGGGGCAATAAGAGTAGGCTACAGAATCCGCTCCTCCGCCCTACTGTGCTTCTCACTAGGTATATATATACGGTATATATATTGTGAACACGGGAACACGGTAACTCCTTCATATAAAAAAAAATATTTCCATGAAGTTTGGTACATGTAACTCAATAAGATCTCGGATGAATTCAGTTATCAGTATTTTCGCTCGATATTTTGGGAAATTTTGGCCATTTTAGTCTGTTGTAGGGGGACGACCTTGAAAAACTGTACTCAACTAATCATGTGTATGTATTATCCACACACACACACACACACACACACACACACACACACACACACACACACACTATCCCTCAAAGATAATGTCACAGAATAAATTTTACCAATATTCAAGTAGTTCATTTAATTACAGGTTAGACAACAAACCTTTACACGGTCTAAAACAAGACGCCATAATTGAATAAACCTGACAACGGGAAGAGGAAGAGAAGGAGGAGGAGGATAAAGAGGAAGAGGAGGAGGAGGATAAAGAGGAAGAGGAGGAGGAGGAGGATAAAGAGGAAGAGGAGGAGGAGGAAGAAGAATGACAGTATTAATAGGCAGTATAAGGAGTTGTTGTCTCACTGATGACTGACGGGTTCAGTATGTAACATAGAGCCAGTGTTTACCATCTCCCCGTTAGGCAGCGATCTCTCGGGTAATGGCGGCGTAGAGGCTGATATGAATACTGGGCGTAACACTTTGTTGACTCTCTTTCTCTCTCTGTGTCTCTCTCTCTCTCTCCTCAAGGACTCTCATATACCTCTCTCTATCACGCACTGCTATCACACCTCTATCACAAATTTCACACTTCATATTATCGTTATGCTTCTCTTAATTTTGATTTAACATTCAATTTCACTTATCCAATTATTTTTCTTCTTTCTCACAAACCTTTTATATTCCCGGTTGTCTTTTTCACTCCATCTTCTTCATCGGTGATCGCTTCATTGCTCATTGTTATTATTTACACAGATACCCCCTTATTTCACTTAATGGACGACCCCCTTATTTCACTTAATGGACGACCCCCTTATTTCACTTAACGGACGACCCCCTTATTTCACTTAATGGACGACCCCCTTATTTCACTTAACGGATGACCCCCTTATTACACTTAACGAACGACCCCCTTATTTCACTTAACGAACGACCCCCTTATTTCACTTAACGGACGACCCCTTATTTCACTTAACGGACGACCCCTTATTTCACTTAACTACCCCTCTATCTCCCTGAACAGGCCTCTAACCTACTTAACAGGCCGTCGAGCTTACTTAAGGGAAAACTTACCTCATTTAAGGAACTGCATGTCTCATTTAACAGTGCCCTTACCTCACTTATATGGACCATACCTCACTTAACGAACCTTCCATATCACTTACTTCACTTAATGAACCCCTATCTCACTTAGAAAACACCCTAACTCACTTAAGAGCACCTAACTCACTTAAATGTCGCCCCTAACTCACTTTAATGATATAATTTTTATTTTCCTTGATTGAATTTTATGTCAGTTGAGGAATTTCCCAGCACCGCGACCTCTCCCTCCCTGGTGCTCCCTCCTCCCCTTCATATCCCACTATCTGCCATCACTGGTGTAATCCCATTCTAGTGGTGTTTTCCTCCCCTCCCCTCTACCCACCCTTGGCAGGATTCCACTGGTATATTCCCCTAAAAGAAAGCTTCCATCTAGAGGTTTCAGGGAATTAAGGGCCTGGGTGACGGCCCTGGGAGTGTCGCATCTTAGGCTTTACTCCCGGCGGGGAATAAAGTTTTGACCCATTTAGGGGGATTTCCCCGGACCACTGGAATACTGTAGTGGATGTGAGAGCTTGAGAAACTTTTTTTTTTTAAGCGTCGTCTTTGAAGGGATGATATTGTTACCAGCACCGACGTCCAAGGAAGGGGGGGGGAGGGAAGGGGAGATGTGAGGGGGAGGTAGGAGGGGGAGGATGGGTGTTTAAGTTTTGTTACCTAAATGTTTAACTTGGAGCTACACGATGTTTATACTGTACTTGGTGAAGATAATCCCTCCCTCCCCAGCCCCCTCCTCCTCCCTCCCTAGCTCCCCCTCCTCCCTAGCTCCCTCCTCCCCAGCCCCTCCTCCTCAACCCTCCTCCGCAGCTCCCTCCTCCCCAGCCCCTCCCTCCCTAGCTCCCCCTCCTCCCTCCCCCTCCCTAGCTCCCTCCTCCCTTAGCCCCCTCCCTCCCCCAGCTCCTCCCTAGCTCCCTCCTCCCCAGTCCCTCCCTCCTCAACCCCCTCTCCCTCC